TAGAAAACTTTTACATGCAAAACCCGCATCTTTGGATTTGACAGCAATTCTTGAAAAATCACCATTTTATCACTTTTTGCTTTACCTCCCTACAATTAGTACCAAATATCAAATATAAGTAGAATTTGCTAATTAAAATAATATTTGGCTAGAATCAAGGGAAAAATAATCATAAATTTAATAACAAATTGCAACCATAGCCAACAAAGACTACTAGCAAAAAGAAAAGAAAATTGAACAATTAATGCCTAGCTAGCAATCCAATTCCCTCCCCCACACCTAAATTTTACATTGTCCCCAATGTAGGAAATAAATAATAAAATAAAAGAAAGAGGACAATGACACGTCCTTGAACACGGAGGAGGGTATTACATTGCTAAGAATTAGGAGTAAAGGTGGGGTGAAACCAATAGAATGAAAATAGCCACCAAATTTTTCAATCATTTTAGACGCATGCATGCCTAAAACATACGGAGTCTTCTGGTCAAAAATTTTTAACTCGCCAATTTCAGCGTGACTCATGGACGTGGGCACATCCTTGGACCAGTATTCTTCTAAAATTTCTAAACATGTCTTTAGAACTGATCGGCTAATTAGGCGTAGGCACGCCTTGTCGGGTAACAGTCTTCTATCCACTAAAACAGCAAAACAAAAATTAAACACACAAAATACTAAAAACCTAAGGTAAACGTAATAAAAATAATAAGAAAAAAAAGTGAACTAAAAAGTGAATTGGGTTGCCTCCCAAAAAGCGCCTTTCTTTAATGTCTTTGACTGGACATTGGCATGTTTGTTTAAGGAGGATAAAATCTTGTAACTCGTTTTAGTGTTTCATCCTCTATATAATCCTGATAATCTTCGTAAGTAGAGTGGTTCTTAAACACACGAATTATTTTCTTTCATGAACTAGTAGATGGAGCCAAACAATTAAGCAATAATTTTAATTCTTCACTCACTCATCAATCACGAGTAATTATCAATTCAAGATATTTAACCATCACTCCTAACTTATTCCTGCCATAGAACTCAAAAACTTCTGTTATAACAAAGACAATCTCACTAACAGAAATTACAAAATAAGAGTCAAAAGGATGTTAGTTGCGGAATGGATGGGGTGTCACTACATTTGAAAATTGTTCACTGAATTCATTCATTAAAACAATTTGAGGTTGGTCTCATTTCGTCCTTTTCAACTGTATTTTTGGATCCTTCTTTTTGAAATTCTTGCAGTTCCTCGTCACTTGTCGGGGGATTTGCACTCTTATCTTTCATAAGGTTGATAATGCTTTATGAGGGTAATTCTTCATAAATTTCAGAAATCAATTGCGTCACTTTAGATGTCATCAAACACATTTAATCTGCCAATTTTCTAATTTTCATCTCTGTCTCTTGTTGAAATCGATATGTGTTAATAGCTAGTGATTTAATTATTTCTTCAAGAGATCTACCTTACGTGAATCATGGTTGTTACTATTGATGTTGATGTTGAAAACCTATTGGCTCTGTTGCACAATTAAAGTTGAAGTTGTCCCACTATTCTTGATCATACACATTTGAATAAGGGTCATCCCACATTTGAAATAGGGTTGGAAAACCTCCAAAGTATTGATTGGGGCACTCAGGTCATATTGAAATGCGAGGCACATATAGGTTGAATGACTCAAGGCATAACAAATTTCACAAGTCGCAATAGCCAATTTTTCTACACGAGAGGTATCTAAATATTGATCATTAGAAAAAAAAACACGAACCTCATTACCCTTTCTAGGAATAAAATTTAGTCTATCACCAAAATACTGAATGTTAGCAGCCAAAAACTAGTAAAAAAAAAAATAAGAGAAAAAATAAAAATAAAAATAAGATGAACTCAAAAAAGAAACAAATTAATCAGCTACCAATCCCCGACAACGGCGCCAAAAATTGACAGGTGTTAAGACTGTGCAATAATAAATATCTACTTGAACAAAATACATATTTTTGTATATAGCGATAAGCAAGGTCTAATCCACAAGAATTAGAAAAAATTTGTTTCTTTTAGAATCCAGAGTAAGATAGGTTTTTATAAAAATGAGAATAATTAAACAACTCAAACAAAAATGCCTAACTGATAATTTATTAAAAATGAAACAATAATAAATAAACTGTAACCAAGAAATAACTTCGGAGATGGTTCACTCAATTGATCATTGATGCAATGATAATTTCTTTTATTCACTGATAAACTAGTTATAATTGCCAAACAAGTGATGACAATCAACTCCTCCTTACTGCATTGATGGTTAAGGTACGATCATTAACCATTGTCCTAATCAAGAAATAATCCTAGGTACGACTTTAGAATTCAATTTTTTAATTATCTTAAGAATTAGAGAAGTTATGTTCTAACCAAATAACACGCTACGAGGGTTATTTTAGGTTAACCTATATATTTTTCTGACACAAATCCAATTATACCAGTCACCACTAATTTTAAACAACTAAATAATTATAGATTTAACTTCTCTAATTGGCTTTAGATTATTTGATTGAATTAAATATTGGACACCCTTGCTATTCAAACAACTTAATAGCCACAAGAAATTAAATTAGAGAATATACGAATACCAGTAAATAAAAGAAATAAATATAATTAATTTGATTTCACAATTTTAGATAAACCAAATCTTCCTTTATTTTTTGACTAGAATGAAAAACTTAGTTCATTCCTAAGGAAAAAGCTATGCGCCAAGTATTGGAATTAATTGTCGAGACCATTTTCCAAGAATACGAGATGAAGTATGGAAAAAAAGAAAAAGGAAAAGACGAGTCATCCTAAATACTTCCTCGTTGTTGTTTCGAGAAAGAAAAGATAAAGAAGCAAAACATGCCTCTCCTTATTCCGTTTCCTACTACTACTAAGCGAAATCAAATTGTTTCCAACAAATCAAATCTTATCCGAAAAAGAAAAGCCTTCATAGACAAAATAAACTAGCATCCTAGTAGGAATAAAATACTATTTATCTGGTGAAAAATCCAACTCTTCTGACTTCAACTCACGGTTGGAGATCACGAGCCAACTCATGAGCTTCCTGAACGTGCAGAGTTTAGGTTTTGACGTGACTATGCCGAACAGCATAAAACCCAGTGCAGATTATGTCTTTCATCCCTTTTTGCTCTGAATTCCTACAACCAACACCAATCATCAAATATGAGTAAAATCTACTAATTAACACAATATTTGGCTAAAAACAAGGGAAAAATAATCATAAATTTAATAATAAAAATGCAACCTATCACAATGAGCCAACAAAATTCCTTTTTTTCTCTAATTTCCTAATCAACATGGTATCTTTTCATTCAAAGTTTATCCTTTTTGGTCTAACCCAACATTCAAGTGTTTCGAGAAAAAAAAAATCTATGTGCTTTTATGGAAGTCAAATTTGCTGAAAAATCATTTTGGTTTTATTCAAAAAGTTGTATCACGGTTCGGACCAACTACATCGCAAGTCTAGTAATTAATTTTTGATCAATGAAATAGCATCAATTGGACAAATAATGCCACAATTTTATTTATATTGTAATTTAATGTCAAATTAGTGGGTTCCTAAATTTCATTTGGAGTATTTTCATTGTCAAAGTCAACTACTAAGCCTGTCAGGTAGTTAGTTCAGACTATGATGAAATTTCTAGATTCTGCAATGAATTTTCTTTGGAGTATGTGAAGTCAATTGTGTAATTTAATGTTAATATCATTTTAAAACTTGAAATCAGACAATATTCGTCATATACGTTATATCAATGGATTAATATACATTTTCTACTTTGCATTATGTATTATTTGGTAGCATTAATTAAAAATTGGTTAATAATTGAGTCTAACTTATCCTGAAATGCAAGATCTATTTGTTGGTCTGCTTCATGATTAAATGTACCCTATTATAAGTAGTCATAGTTACAGTATCTCCCACAAGAACTTGTGTGATAAGATGCACCAACATATCCTCGGAGAAATCGCTCTCATGCCTTTCTCAAGCCACTGACAAGTGACAAGAAAGAATGCAGACACATGTTAGAAGGAAGGGATATCTGTCATCACTGTCTGTTTAGTATCTCTTTAAGTGCATGTAACCGTCATATCTCCTACACTTTTTCTTGCATTCTAGTAGACTTATGGCTTTTTCTTGAACTTCACTTTGTTTTTGTCATTTGTCTACTTCTTCATAATTGAGATGATAAGCTAGAGTAAATTCGCTAGCATAAAATAACTTCCTCCCACTAGTGCCATTTTTAAGGGGGATTAATGATCTTTCTCTCATTTCTACCAATTCATTTAGTATAAAGCCTCTTGGATATTCATTTCGTCAGCCCCTTAAATTCAAGAACTTCAATCTAATCTCACTTTTACTGAACTTTGATAACTCAGGGTGATTATATATTTCCTTTCACACCAAGGACTCTGTCTATTTAATGCATGATTTTTGTGATCTATTAAATAGTTGGTTTCTTTTTTGTTAGATTGCATTAATTGGATTTTGTTACCTGCTTCTTTAAACGGTGGTTGTTTTACTTTCGTTATAAGCATGTAGGCAAAATTGCAATGCTGATCTGTGGAATAATTTTCTCAGTGTGGATGCTTATCTGTTGTCTGCTAAAATTAATTTTCTCAGGATAGATGCTTATCTGTTGTCGGCTGAAATTAATATACGTCTGTTGTGAGATGCGGCCTATTAATAGAGAGCTCTTAAATTGAAGTTGTTCAATTTGAGTTTGCTCGATCCGAGTTTACTTCCTGGTTTTTCTTCTAGTCTTCAAAGAAAGGTGAGTGCTAAATTCAATCACAATTTGCATGTTTGGATGCTTCAAATGTATGAATCCTTTCAATTAATTACCAGTCTTGGTGATCCATGATGTATCCCTTTCATACACTTGTGTTTTTCATCTGCATGTGATTCAGTGTCTTAAATGAGCTTCATTCATCTGAAGGTTTGAAAAAAAAAAAAAATTACATGTTAATCAGGGCAATGTCCCTCAGCAGAGACCTCCTCTTCTTGATTCGACAGTTTTGCAAGGACGAGAACCTCCACAAAACTGCTCATATGTGAGTTTCAATTTTCTATATTCTAATTTATGCTTCTAAATTTCAGCTACGGTTTTCTAATTCAGCAAATTAAGCAATGACTTTAGTTAAACCTTTGACACCGTGAACGAAATCTATATAGGCTCGAGAAAGAGACTAGTTTCTACTTCGACATGAATTATTTTGAAGAGCTGGTATTGAGTGGAAATTGGAGCGAGGTAGAGGCTTATTTGTCGAGCTTCACAACACCCGATAGCAACGAGTACTCTATAAAAATGTACTTCGAAATCAGAAAACAAAAGTTTCTTGAGGCACTAGACAGGTAAGTTATGTTGGACTGTTTATTAAAATTTCAACGAAACCAGTTTTTGAAACAATTTAACACATGCGTTTTTGGTTTGTAGGCAAGACTTGGCTTTGGCACTAGACATCCTGCTGAAAGATTTGAAATGTTTTGCGTCATCAAATGAACACCTGTACAAAGAAATGGCTTGGCTCCTAACAATGGAAGACTTCAGGTATGGATTTTGTGTTTGTCAATCAATTCTTTAGACATTATACATATTGATGACACCACCAGCTAAGCAGCACCGACGACAACTATTATTATAATTCCAGAAAACATCATTCGCTCTCCACGTATGGAGATATTATATCTGCTAGAAGACGACTCATGGATGAAGTTAAGGCACTCCTTGAAGCAAATCCCCACTTCCGCCGGAAAATAAAGCTTCCTAACATGGAGACCACACGGTTACGGCGGCTCATCAACCAGAGGTACATGTCTTCTCTTTATGTCATTTTCCATTCTTCTCTTTATGTCATTTTCCATTTGGAATTTTTCCAATGATATGTTTAACATCTTTGTCGTTTTTCTTAATTAAACATCAAATAATATTCTTGGAAAATTAGTTCCATTTTACTCAATGAATCTGATCTTCTTTCACTATGACCTGTAGTTTGAACTGGCAGCATAGTCAATGTGGACGTTCTGAGTGTGTGCCCCAAATCAATTCCCTTTTGTTTGATCACAAATGTACTGGTCAACCAAACGACCAAATCCCATTGGTATTTAACTATCTCAGCCTGGATTTATCTCTTTCTCTGAGTATCATTTTTTTTCTAACTAATCCTTTTCTCCATAATTAATTTCAGTCCTTTCAAGCTATCTCAGTATCAAAATCTCCGCTTGTTGGCAATTCGAATTTTCCCCTATTTAGGTTGCCTGACTCTCAAATTTCATCCAGTGCTATCAACCCTACAAATCAAAACAACCTTGGTACCTTTTGATCCCATATGTTTATTAATATTTTATTCTTATGCACTTCCAAATATTTTACTAACCATGAACTGCATTTTTAGTGGTGACTTCGGAGGCTATCAAGGATTCCACCAATGCCTTTAGAATATTCTCGAGGATGCCTGTGGATAAGGTATTTACAAATGTTTGATAAAGCTTTTGTCATTACTAAAGCGATTTTAAGGTGATTAAGAAATCACATTTAATAGAGCTCTCTCTCTCTCTCTCTCTCTATATATATATATATATATATATATACATACACATACATACATACATACATATATACATGCATACATATATAAGAATGAGTTGTGGTCAAAGGGGGTTTGAATTTCAATCACATGGATAGGGGCTTTTAGGGAATGTGAAATGTTGTGTAATTTTTTTAAACCTTTTGGTACAACTGAGGGTAGCATGTGTTTAGGTATATTTACTGAAATACTTTCATTTTGGTAAATTTAAATTTTTGATTTATGGAGACATCTGGATATTTCTGGAATATGAAATTATTTTGCAACCGTTTTTGTATCGAGTACAACTCATACAAACTTATTTGTTGGTATAATTACTAAAATGGTGTTATAGACACATTTAGTTGAAATATGGCTTTTGTTGTGCAATTAACACAAAAACATATTAACACGTTATACAATTAACACATTGCTATAACTAGCCGTTGGAAGATATCATTATACTATATAAGAATGAGTTGTGGTCAAAGGGGGTTTGAATTTCAATCGCATGGATAGGGGCTTTTTGGGAATGTGGAATGTTGGGTAATTTTTTTAAGGGATAATATCAAAAACCTCCCCTGAGGTTTCTCTTAATATCACCTGGTAGCACCCCTAAGGTTTTAAAAATATCACTTACCTCCCTTACTTTTGTTATTTATGTAACAAAATTTTTAAAAACCCTAAACTACCCTTTCACTTGCTAAATAAAAATGTTCCTAAACCACTTTGTTCACTTCAAGAAAACCATCACCTCAAAAGCAATCTCTTGTAGTACCACTACATCACAATTCTATACCCTATAAAAATATAAATTTGAAAAATAAAAATGATATTTGAAAAGAAATACACTTGCATTAATTTAATTCTATATGCTCAAAACGATTTCCTATAAATTTACATTTTTTCCAACATCTTCTCAACGCTTTACTCAAACCATTAAACTATACCAATCATTATAAAAATCAACCCAAAATAAGCAAATAAATCATACCCCACTTTATCACAATCACAAAAAGTAAAAGATAAACAAAATTTAATTTATTATAATTTACAGTAAAATATTGCATAGTCATCCAAAAAATATGAGTAAGAGAGAATGATGGAGAAAAGGGAAAAAGAAGAATGTGACTTTGGTTTCTTTTTTTTTTTATTTTTGAGCTTCATTTATTTGATATGTTGTGAATTATGTGTCAAGTGAGGGTTAATATTGTCGTTTTACAATTACTAGGGGAGGTACGTGATATTTCTAAAACCTCAGGGGTGCCAAGTGATATTAAGAGAAACCTCAAGGGAGGTTTCTGATATTATCCCTTTTTTTAAACCTTTTGATACAACTGAGGGTAGCATGTGTTTAGGTATATTTACCGAAATGCCCTCATTTTGATACATTTAAAGCTTTGACTTATGGAAACATCTGGGTATTTCTGGAATATAGAATTATTTTGCAACCGTTTTTGCATCAAATACAACTCATATAAGCTTATGTATTAGTATAATTACTGAAATGGTATTACAGACACATTTAATTGAAGTGTGGCTTTTGTTGTGTAATTAACACAAAAACATATTAATACGTTGTGCAATTAAGACATTGCTATAATTAGCTATTGGAGGATATTCTTTTGTTTGAAACAACTTATGTCTACTCTTGAGCGATTTTCAACTGACATCTGTAGGGGTTTTTTAGAAATGGTAAAATTGTAAAAACATTGATAAAGTAAAGTGTATAAGTATGTGCTGCAATTAGAATATACTATTATTAGTTTTGTCATATTTGATAACTATTTCTTTCCAAAATGTACTATTATTTGTCCAATGAAAAATCTTCTCTAACCACAGGCACCAAACACGGGCACTCCCCCTTAGTGTATATATATATATATATATATATATATATATATATATATATGTACGTGTGTGTGTGCACCTTATTCTACCAAGCTAGCTAATGAGCACTTGTATTATCTTTCCTTTACCTTTTCTCCTTCTACATGTAATCATCACTCTTTTGGTTTGCAATTGTATTGGTTTAGGTTGTGTCACAAACAAATGTTCCAGTTCAAAGCCAGAATTTGGATGTTAATTGTCCTGAGGACTTACCTGGAAAGGTTGAACGTTGTATGGACATGAGCTCCTTACCGACTAGCATGGACTTTCATCCTTTGAAAGGAACTCTCTTGTTAGGTCAATTGTCGTACGACTAAGTTACTTTACTAAGTTAACGTTCTACTATCAAGTATCAACTTTATTGACTTGTGTATTATTGTTCTAATTTTTCAGTTGGAAACATCAATGGTGAAACAGAATTGTGGGATGTCCGCTCTGAAGTAAAATTTTTTTGGAATGCGTTCATGATTTGGAAGAGAGAGACCATCTCCTCATCATTTCTGGTAAATAAATTAATTACTGATCATTATTGATCTTCATCTTGGAGTCGTCCTGATACTATTTGAACCTTTCATTTCAGATTGATTATAATCAAAATCCCCAAATTTCAGTTAATCGTGTTTTATGGAGCCCAGATGGTTCAATCTTTGGTAAGTACACAGGAGTTGAACTTCCTCTTTACCATCTATCTTCTAAGTATTTATTTTGTTAAAAGTGTAATTTCTTTTACCAATTATAATAGGTGTTGCATACTCAAAACAAATTGTCCAGTTGTATTGTTATCATGCTACTGGTAATTACATCGAAAAACAATTGGAGGTATATCTATTCTCTTCTCTTTTAATTTCTAAAGTTGTTCACCTTCTGATAACCACTTTAACTTTGAAGATCGATGCTCACTTGGGAGGGGTACACGATCTTGCATTCTCTTCGCCATACGATCAAATTCTTGTAATTACGTGTGGAGAGGACAAACTCATTCAGGTCTAAATATGAAATAGTACTCTAGTAATTTTACTAGTTAAATAAAATAGGTAATAATATTTATAGTTTGTGCCAGGTGTGGGATAGTATGACTGGTTCCAAGCAATACACATGTGAAGGTCATGGATCCCCTGTGTACTCGCTGTGTGCTCATCTGAAGGAAGATATCCATGTATAGTTGCTCCTTGTTACCATTAAAGACTTTCCTTTCTCTACTTTTTTTTTTAACTTGATTTGGTATATTTCTTCTTATTTTTCTTTTTTTCTAATGTTTTACTAATTGATACATTGCAGTTTGTATTTTCCACATCAACAAATGGTGAGATAAAAGCGTGGATGTTTGACAATGATAACACAGGACCAAGGGTTGCCCTTGATGCACCTGGCCATTCTTGCATGAGAATGGCCTATAGTGCTGATGGTAAAAGGTAAGTCGTAGATGTAGTATTGTCCTTGGTGATTCTCCAGTAACTAAATCAACTTAACATTGTCAGGCTGTTTTCTTGTGGGACAAACGAAGATGGAGACTCGTACTTAGTTGAATGGGACGACACTGAAGGTTCTATAACCCAAAGCTACCATGGGCTCTCTAAGTCATCTGCAGCCATAGTGCAATTCAGCACAAGCAGAAACAGGTTTTTGGTTGCCGGTGACGAACATTTACTCAAATTTTGGGAAATGGACAATGTCAAAATTTTAGTATCTCTTGATGCTGATGGGGGCCTACCTGTATGATCTATACACCTTTTTGGATTTATGCTTTTACTTGCTATAATAGTATTATACATTTTCAATCATTTGTGATGATAAAAATGATATTTCATTTACTTGTTAACTTCTTTCTCTATGTCAAGGCAAAGCCTTATGTTTGCTTCAACAAAGAAGGCACTCTTTTGGCTGTCTTTGCTGATGATAGTAAGATCAAAATCTTGGCAAATGATATTGGTACCCAATTGCTGCAGACTTTGCCTTCTGGCTCTGTTGATTCGACAGGACGTCCTTGCAGATCATCAGGGAAGGTCAGCTACTAAAACCTTTTTTTTTATGTTATTTTTCGAGAAGCAACTATTTTCTACATTAACAGTGCACAATTAGGCCAGTGACACCCTCCGGAATTAAAATTGAGGATGAAAACATCCCCATGGCCATGGGGCGTGGTCTGTGAATTTTTCTTTAGATTTCCTTTTCTCTTCTGATCTACAAGTCATCGAATTTCACTTTCTCTTCTTTTGTTTAACTTCACTGCCCGAGCATAGTTGATATGTAAACTTGAACCGTCTGAAAACAGGATGATCAAAACATGAAATGTCTAGGAATTTCAGAGCTAAACAACCACCTGAGCACTAAGGAATATGCAAAACCTACACAAGTTTCGCGGTGCAAATCCCTGAGGCTCACAGCTGAATTTAAGACAAACAGGGTAAGATTCTGTGTTGCATAAGTCTTCGTTCATATTAAGGGCTACACTTAACCGTTGGTGTTGGTGGCACCACTAGGAGTTGGCATCATATTTTTAATCGCATTTTCTAGAGTTGTTCATTTTTAACCTAATTCAATGACGTACATTAAAAGAGCATACTATACATCGACTATTTTCCTACCACAAACATTAAATGAAAATATAGAAACTTCTTCATTCTAGATATGGTCTTTTATATTCTTAGTAAGAAATTATACCATGATGCCTTTCTTGCATTAACCACCACAAGAGATGATCAGTAGAAAAAAAAAAAGTTTCTATTCTGTGTAGTAATCAAATTTGATTGCTCGGTATACTTCTCTTCTGGTATAACCGTACTCGTATTCATTGAATTGAACTTAGTTGGGGGCGTATGCATTTTCCTTCTGCTTTTTTGGGGGTTAAATTGAGCATTCCGGAGTAGGTCACTATACAGTCATGATTAGGAGTCCTATATTTCGAATTAAAACCTATATGATCACTACGGATTACGGAAAGCTAACTAACAACTTCAGCAAAATCTAAGACGAAATACTTAATCTTTGGTGGGAGGGGGCAAAAAAAAACATTGCTACTAAAGTACAAAGGTTGAAGCACTTAATTGAGTGGGTAGGAGTCATTCCAGAGTTGTTCAACATTTTGAACTTAATTCATTGGTGTACAACAAAAGAAGGGTAAAATACACTTCACCTTCATGTGGTTTAGCGATTTTTCATATAGCCCTTCATAGTTTCAAAAGTTATACATAATCTCTTCATAATTTGGATTAAAGTATCAAAATGATGAAAAATATCCTTTGTGACGAAACCCGAGGAAATGTAAAAATATCCTTGTTTAAAAATTAAAATGGGTTCAGTGATCAAAATATATAAATGTAATATGTATGACACTTTAACCCCTTATGATTTTATATTTTACTATATAACCCCCTTATGATTTAGTACTTTACCATATAATCCCCTTATGATTTTCAAAATATATATGTAACCCCCTTGCGGTTAATTAATAATTTCCAACTTCACAAAGGAATACTTTTGATATTTTAATTGACTCCATTATGAAATACAAATTTCGTGACTTCGACGATTTAATCCAAATTATGACGAGGTTATATATAGTTTTTCAAACCACAAGGGAGTAATGTAAAAAAGCGCTAAATCACAGGAGGTAAAGTGTACTTTACCCATAAAAGAATATAACATACATTAATTATTTCTCTACCACAAAAATTAAATGAAACTATAAAAATGTCCTGATCTAACTCTAAGTATGGTCTTTTATGGTCTACGTAAAGAATTATACTACGATACATTTCTTGCATTCACCACAAGAGATAAGTAAAACAAAGAAAATATTATGCCCTGTTTGATAACGCAATTTAGCACTTAGACTTAATGAATTCAAATCTTAACATATTCAAACAGTTTGATAACAAAAAATTCAACATCTAAATTAATTAAGTGACACTGAATCTTCTAGGCAAAACTTACTTACAAAATTAAGTGATAAACTATTCACTTATCACTGAATGTGATATCCACTCAAATATGTTAGATTTAATATTTAATAATTCAATAACTTAATGGATTCAAACTTCAGATTTGAGAGTTCAAACTTCAGTTTTCAGATTTCCGTTTTATCAAACACACCCTCACTCTATATAGTAATGGAACATCTCCATTGACTGATAATTTTCTTCATATGTAATGCTAAGAAAGATGAACTTGATCACTCCTTGTACTACTCTTCTGGTACAATCGTACAAATATTATTAAACTGAAATTAGCTGGAGGTATAAGCAGTTTCCTTCTTCTGCCTTTTTGGGTCAAATTGAAGTTACTTATTGACTTTTAATGATCTCAGATATGTAGGTTGCTATACACTAACGCAGGTAACGGAATATTGGCTTTAGCAGCAGATGGCATTCATCTATTCTGGAAGTGGCCAGGAAATGGGTATAACGATTATGGCCAGGTACAACAGTTGATGCGTTCTGTTTTCTTCTGCATCTCTCTCTCTCTTCGTTTCTGTATGTGTATCATTGTTTTCCCGTGTGTTGATTTTTAGTTAAATTTTTAACTCTTGTCCTGATTCGCCAGTAGGGAAAAATTGGAATAGTTAATCATTACAGTTCTATTATTTAGCAATATGCTCATTGCTGCAGGCAACAACAAATCGTCCCCCTTGTCTTTGGCATCCAAAGACTGGATCAATTATGGTCAATGACCTCAACAATGACCCGTATCAAATAGTCTCACCATGCTTTGCATTATCCAAGAACGACTCTTATCTTGTATCAGCATCGGGAGGGATGGTTTCATTGTTCAACATTGTAAACTTTGAGGTAAGCATGTGATAACTTATTTGTCAAAATTTTTTAATTTGAGCTGATAGAAATGGAAAAGCGGGCAGAAAATGTTTAACCAAAACACTTCAGTCATGCAGAAGAAAAATGCTGTGTGTGATTCCCGCTGATCATTGTATATCCTTTATCCTATCTATCTAATAACTATTATGGAAGGGCAAATCTAATTTGCATTCTTGAACACGTGGAAAAACTAAATTGCCAATTTTATTGTTAGGGCACCATTTTACATGAATCGTCTCTCCCATTGATTTCGAGTTCAATTTGTTGGATGTTAACTGCAGAAAGTGAGGCGTTGCCTGCTGCCTCCACCTACAGCTACATGCATGGCATTCTACCCTCCAGATAACAACCTAGTTGCTATTGGCATGGACGATTCAACTGTTCTCATCTACAACGTACGAGACTCTGAGGTATAACACTTTTCTCGTGTGTGTAAAACTTTTCAAATGATGAAAGAGTCGTAGCGATCAATTTACCCATTTTCCATACATATTACAGCTTATGACCAGGCTTTCTGGGCACTTGAAAAGGATTAGCGGCTTAGCATTTTCGAACTCATTAAAGGTGCTGGTCTCTGCTGCAGTAGATTCTCAGGTCTGCTCTAAATAAATACATATGTCGCACTCGTGTCCTTATAAGAATTGTTGTTATTAGCTGCAATGTGCAGCAATAATATTCCTAATCCGACCATCTCATATGCAAAATTCCTGAATCAATCATATTGTTCCCTTTTGTTGCAGATCATTGTCTGGGATACAATAACGTGGGAGAAAAAGAAAAGCATCTCGATGCAGATATCAGTTGGGTGGTGGCTGCCATCAGAAACCTCGGAGACCGTTATCCAATTTCACAAGGATCAATTGCACTTTCTTGCAATCCACGAGACTCAACTTGCAATGTATGAATCAAGAAGTCTAGAACGCATCAGACAGGTCAGTTTTTTCGCCCATTCATTCTTAGTTTTTTTCACCCATTCACTCTCCACAAGCACTCGAAGCATACATATATAGCAACTTGTTTTTGTATACACTGGTTTTAATTGCTTTAGACTACGTTTTTCTCAATTGCTTGTAGTGGAACACCAGAGACTTCTGTGCAAGGATTTCGAGCGGAACATTTTCATGCGACAACCAGCTGGTATTTGTTGTCATGAGAGATGGAATTGTTATGATACTCAGCGCCTTAGATCTGAGTCCAAGATTTCGGATTGATCCTTCTGCTTACCTTCCGCCTAGTAGTGGGTACGTATAACTAGCTACAAGCTTAAATATCGCGGTGTCATTCTTCATCCCACTTTTTATTATATTACTATTTCTTCTTAATAAACATCATATTTTAGTTCTTTTTTAGTTTTTTTAAGATACAATAACTATTGATTAAGTAAAAAATAAATAAAACAATTTTAAAAAAGTAATATATAATAGAAAAATAAAAAATACAGCAGAAAATTCATAAAAATCTCATTTTTTATGCATATTGATTTTTTGAGTTTGTTAATTTTTGTGTATTATTCAATTAATAGTTATTGGATCTTAAGGAAACCAAAAAAAAAATCTAAAATGTGGTGTTTATGAAGAAGAAATAACAATATAATAAAAAGTGAGACACGAAATGACATAAAATGTGGGACACAAGATCCGTTGTGCTTAGATATATATTGCTCGTCTCTTACGCCTGGACGGGCTTGCCATTTGGGCAAATTAATGATTTTCAACTTAAGAAATAAAAGACGGAAACTTGCATGTTTTATTTACATTTGTGCTCTATACCTGCATAAAACTAGCTCATCTTACAATCATTTTCACCAAGTTTCATAAAATCTTGGCAGTTTTTTGTTCATGACTTAACTTTCCTCTTCATCATATTACGTTTGACGTTAAATATGCCCTTTGGCACTATTTATTTGCCTTCAATATTCAATCTTATTTAATTTAGTTGTATCATCTTGAACTTACCAATCTGCTTCTCTGGATGCAGTCATCATGTATATCCAGTGGTGATAGCAGCTCATCCACAGAAGTCGAACCAATTCGCCTTGGGGCTGAGTAATGGCGATGTAATCGTTGTTGAGCCTCATGAGTCTGAAGGAAAGTGGACAATATTACCACCATTTCACAATGGACCAGGAAATAGGATAATCATAGATTGAAGTTTAGTACATCCTCTCAAAAGATGATGTGTTCAACATAGTTTGCATATTTCAGATTTCAAAATAATTAGCCGAGATTTGGCAATAACATCAATAAAACGGCTTATGTAGCTGAATGTGTAATTGTTTTATGCCTATATTAACTTTTCCGAAGTATGGAGATGTAAACCTCCTCATTGCGATTTACTTTTTTTTTTTTTTTGGATAAAATATCAAAAAACTTCCTATGGTTTGATAAATGTTCAATTTAAAATCCTCTGATTTGGAAACCTACGCGATAACTCTCTGCGGTTTCGACTAAATTAAAAATTAGATAAAGAATATTCAATCTAACGGTTGTACGTGAAACGCGAATATTAGTCCTATTATACGTAAAAGCAAAAACTTGTGTAGATCTGGTCCACGGCCCTACATATAGACCGAGCGGTTCACAAAATGCCACATCATCATGGCAGAATTTTTCAAATCAAAATTATTTTGACTCCTTGAAGGCCTTTCCAGTATGCAGATATTTCACTTTAAGCACCGTTATCGCAAAGAATGTCCAGCAAATCTTCAAATGCGTATGACATAAACAAGTCAATATTTAAAAAGCAGTCCACAAAGTTATCAATAAATGAGATATCAACCAGTCAATTTTCCAAAGGTATCTTCCAGTAACATTTTAGCCATAATCTTTCCAAACAATGGCTACTAGCCATAGCCATATACATACAAATCAATAACTAGTTTTAATAATGTTCCAGAATTTTCTTCTTCCTTTTTTTTTTGCCCAAACTCCATCTTATCCTTGTATTAAGATCTCCCAACCCAAAATTTTTTAAAAAAAAAAGATAAAAAAATCGTTAAATCCCCCAAGATCTTGAATTTTTTTTCTATTTCTTTTGATTTAAACATTTGTTGTTATTTTCAAAATTATAGATCTTAAAATTTAGGGTTAACAACATAAAAGCCCCATGTGGTTTCATATCATACGTATCGGTACCCTATGGTTTGAATTATTCTGAAAAGTCATCAGAAATCATTAAAACAGACGGAGCTGAGTGAAAAGACGAAAATACCCTTTTGATATAAGCGAAAATTGCAGAAGTAATTTTGAGGTGCGAGGGAGGATGAGTCCAAGATAGGGAAGGACAAAGCAATCCAAAGCAAAAAGGCAGAGACTTTGATATCAGAAGCTATTGGAAAGAGAAGAAGAAGGGTTCCCGATACTGTGGGTGTTTCTGAGGAATGGCAGAGCTTTGCTTGGTGGCTTCACATGGCTCCCATCCTGGGCTATTTGTCCATCCAACTGAACAAGGAGGCTTAGGCAGGGTCTTTAAGTCTGCTTTATTTCAACTCAAATTCAACTCACTGAGCTCCCTTCCCAGTGCTGGACTTGATTACTAGTTTCAACATGTTCAACATTTTTGGTTTATTGTAGGTTGCTACACTGTTAGTTGTCAAGTGGATAAGAGGGTTATCAAACTTTCCTGACAAACACTGGATCCTATCAGGGTTCTTTGCAGCCATGGTATTACAAACCAAGGCTGCATTGGACAGAGGATCAATCAGAAGCAGTGGGCAAATCCCAAACAGAAAGAACTTTGATCTGATCCCAAGTGAGCTTGAGGAAGACATTGTCGACCACTTTCTGCACTTTCCCTTCAATATTTACAAACAAAATATAACCAGATATATTTTCCCCCCGCTGGTTGCTACACTTTCTGTTTCCTTTGCTGGCTTTGAGAACTACATCATCCTTTGCTGGCTTGCAACCTCTGGTTGATTGATTACTTACAATTTTTCACAGGCTTCGAATGCTGGCTTGAGAACTGCTCTGTGTCCTTCAATTTTGGCCGAAGCCGAAGACCAGAACAAGTTCTCTTTTCATTAAAGGGTGAAGGGTAAAGTAGGCATATCAGGTGAAAGTTTGTGGTAGAAATCTATTTTCCGCAAGAAACACGCGCCTTTCCAATGCGTTTAAGAGAAACACCGTAAATTTGACAATTTCCGTCGACTTTTCAGAATAATTCAAATCATGGAGTATCGACGCGTATGATATGAAATCACAAGGGGCTTTTCTGTATGATGGCTATACCACAAGGGGCTTTTTTGTTTTTAATCCTAAAATTTATCTGAAACCTAACGTTAGTTTTTGTGGGAAAGAGGTGAAGGCGACATGGAGTAGAACAAAGCGATAGTGACAGTTGTAAATTGGCGAGAAAGAGCGACGAGGACTTTGGGTTCAAAACGAGAGAGTGCCTGAAAAAAGGGGTCATACGGTTGGCTATGAATCTCTCTTGGCTGGCAACTGCTACCTCCTCCCGAGCAAGGGCTGCTAGGTAATGGCAGTGATGGAGCGGAAGTTTGAGAGATAATGAGGAAGGATCCAAGTGCTGTTTGGGCTTCATCTGGTATTTGAATGATTAGTATTAAGCAATGGCACCAGAATGCGGGGCTTTGGGGGGTCTACATAGACGTGGCAATTATGCCCAAAATCCAATAACCCACCCAACCCACCCACTAATTTGAGAGGTTGGGTTGGGTAAGTTGGGTAATAAAAACTCACATATATTTTGGATGGTTTGGGTATTTATGTTGGACACCCATTATCCAACTTAAGAAAAAAATAAATAAACAAATTAAAATCAAAAACCAAGAAATAATAATGAAAGTAAACATGTGCTTTATTCAATTTAGGAGCTGTATGGTCAGAGCTAGAAAATTTGGATTTCTGAGCTTATGCCCCTTGGGTTGCTTGCCAGCCCTCTGAGTTCTCAATCCTAAAGGCCACCATGCTGACTGTTTTGAACAAGCTAGTGCTGTAGCATTTGCACATAACAATGCTCTACAGGCTATCCTCCCCAATCTTGAACTCCTGCTCAAGGGTTTCAAATACTGCAACTCCAATTTCTATGATTGGCTCCTTGATAGGATTAATGATGATTGGCTCCTTGATAGGATTAATGATCCCACAAAGTATGGCAAGTTAACAATCCACAAGTGTATTTTAGTGTGTTTGTATGTGTAAAAATAAAGTATTTCAAAAGAGCTTAAGAAGTGAGTGTGTGTTTGTATCTGTGAGTGTTTTAGTTTGTAAAAATATGTCTATCTATGTGAAAATGTGATTATTTGGGTGAAATTTTTTTTATTGTATGTGAAAATGTATTTGAAAGAGTTTATGTATCAAAATCTATTAATTAATATATTGGGTCATATTTGGGTCATGGGTTTGAGTTGACCCAATATGACCCAATCCAAAATTGGGCGGGTTGGGTGTAACCCATTTAAATGAAAACCGAATATTAACCTGCCCAAAATTCACCCAACCCTCCCAATTGCCAAGTATAGGTCTATGTGTTGGGCAGAAACGGTTCCAATTGGACACCGGCGGATGGTGGCGGTGGGCTGAGGCGGAGTTCAGGCAACCGTCCTTTCGTCTAACGAGGGGCTGTTGAGGAGCCTTCTATTTCTAGTCTAGAGATTTTTCATTTTTAATCTGCCAGGATAATGTGGCAAACTTTAGACCGCTCGGTCTACAGGTGGGCTTATAGACCGAGTCTACACAAGTTTTTGCCTACGGTAAAATGCTTTTCATTCAATTTTTAATTTAATCGAAACCGTAGTGAACTATAATGTAATTTTTTAAATCAGAGGGAGTTAAATTAAATATTCGACAAATTATAAGGAGTTCATTTATATAGGGGCAATATTGACATTTTATGTATAACTGTTAGATTGGATGCTTTCCATCCAATTTCAATTTAGTTGAAACCACAGGAAGATATAGTATAAGTTTCCAAACTAAAGGAAATTAAATTGAATATTTGATAAATCATAAGAAGTTTTTTTTATATATTTTACCCTATTTTTTCTTGAACAAATGATAGTTAAACCTGGGGCTCCTTTGAAGGCAATGTTGCCCAAAAAGGGAAAGGGTGGAGGGAATATGAGATTTATTAGTATGGATTTGTTAATAAAGTAAATTTTATATACACTGACAATGTATATATTATCACGGTTGGATATATGATATATATGCAAAATTTGAGTTTTAAATTCAAATTTGGATTATGTGTCATGCATCTAATAATGAAAGTGTATATACTATCAGTGTATATAAAATTGGGTTGATTACATTTATCTCCCTTGAGGTTTGGCCAAACTACAAATTGGACCCTTAGGTTTGGTAAAACCACAAAAAGGTCCCTCTGTTTCAAACTCTATAACATATGCGTCCCTGCTGTCATTCTACTGACGTTGACCAGTAAGTTGTAACAGAGTCAACAGAAATTGTGACACAATTCCTAAACTATCATGAACACCAAAATTTTATCATTTTATTTATTTTTATTTATTTGTTTCACTTCTATCTCTTGGAAAAAAAATCATTTTTAGAAAAAATCAAAAGGGAAAGAAAAGAAAAAAAATCAAATACAATTTTTGCAAAAAAAAAAAAAAAAAGGCAAGCAATCCACGTGCACGCACGCCAATCCTTTCCCATGGCTTCGTACCAGAAGCTGGATGAATAGTACAGCAAATTGCAGCTGCATTTTTTATCCCATTTCCACTCAAATTTGGGGGGACAGATCATCTACCAATCTTTATCCCAAATCTGCCATCTAAAGGCTCAAAATCATCCCGAAAAATCTGTTTTCATCACACCCATTGACATTAGGGTTGGAGGGAGCTTTGATTCCATATAAATAGATAAAAATGGGGTCTGAGAGGCATAACAACAGATGAGACAGTAGAGGGGCGGCGGAGAGAGCAAAGGGAGAGAAAAAAACAGTTAAAAAAAGGGAAAACAAGAAGAAAAGAAGGGCAGAATATTTTTACAGAAAGGTGAGCCAGGGTTGGAGATTCAGGGAACTTCCCAGCCATTTTCCGAACTCATAAGTGCTTTTTTTGGGAAGATATTTTTTCTGGATAATCTACGGTGTTTGGGGAGGAAGTTTGTGTTGATCATTTCTAGAAAAAAAGGATGGAATATCATCAAATTTGGGCTTAAACTAGCCGTCCATGCCAACCTTGAAGTGGGTTCCTGGAAGTTTTGCAGCTTCACTTTGTCATCTTACTTAGAAGTTTATTGCAT